TCCAAACATCTGTCCTATTTTCAGCACCACTCACACCATCATTTCAGAAGTGCCTGGAACCTCTAATTCCTGAACCTTTCTAGGGTTCTATGGCATGAACCAGCCTGCTTCTGGGATTCCCTCACTGCTGGCTTGGGTTTTCGCTTATTCTGGCGTGCTAAGTCTAGTACTACTCACTCGTCTGCAGTCTAGCTTCCATGTATGCATTGTGCATGTGTATATGTGTTTATTGCTATCTATGCCCTCAGCCTCTATCCTGGCTCTTGTGAGTGTATGACAATTTAATTCCTTTCAGTCCTTTTTTTTTTTTTTTTTGTAGGATTTTTTGGGTCTGATTTATTGAAGTATAATTTACATACAATAAAATTCACCAATTTTTTTTTGTTTTTTATGTGAGGAAGATCAGCCTTGAGGTAACATCTGATGCCAATCCTCTTCTTTTTCCTGGGGAAGATTGGCCCTGGGCTAACATCCGGGCCCATCTTCCTCTACTTTATATGGGATGCTGCCACAGCATGCCTTGGCAAGCGGTGCGTCAGTGGGCGCTGGGGATCTGAAGCCCGGGCTGCCGCAGCAGAGCATGTGCACTTAACCACTACGCCACCTTGCCGGCCCCAAAATTCATGAATTTTAAGTGTCAAATGCATACAATCAATAATTATCACCACAATCATGATACAAAATGTTTCCATAAAAGTTCCTTTATGCCCCTTTGCAGTTAATTCCCTTCACCCACTTCCATTCCCTGGTGACCACTGAACTGCTTTCCATCGTTATAATTTTGCCTTCTCTAGAGTGTCATAAAAGTGGACTTATACACCAGGTAGTCTTTAAGTCTGCCTTCTTTCACTAAGTATCATCCTTTAGAGATTCCTCTATGTTGTTGTCTGGATCAGTAATTTGTTCCTTTTTATTCCTGAGTGGTAGTCCAGTGTATAATATATTAAAATTTATTTACCAGATGATGACTATTTGGGGTTTTTTCCAGTGTTGGTTATTATGAATAAAGCTGCTATGAATTTTGCAAGCAAGTTTTTGTGTGGACATTATGTTTTCATTTCTCTTGAGGGAAATTCCTAGGTGTGGAATTGCTGGATCATACATAAGCGAATGTTTAAATTTATAAGACACTTCAAAACTGTTTTCCAAAGTGGCTACACCATTTTGCATTTCCACTAGCAATGTATGAGATATAAAACTGATATAGCAATACTTATAATGCTAAAAGTACTCTTTTAAGAAATGATGTATTATTAAAGATAAAAAATGATATATTATGAATATATGAGAGTCAAACAAGCAAGATGATGTAACCATTCTAAATTTCTGTGAACGTAACATAGCTTCAGCATATAAAAGTGAAAATTGTCAGAACTAAAAGTAGAAATAGAAAATTCATGATCATTATAGGAGATTTTAAGGCATTAATCTCAACAGAGAGAAAAAGTAGAAAAAAATTAAACAATACCATAGATCTGAATAATGCAATTAATAAACTTGATCTAATTTATTTTGACAGATTTTCCTTGGGTCAAAGAAGAAATCACAATGGAAATTAGAAAATATTTTTATTTGAATGATAATGAAAATAAATTATAATAAATCGTAAAGCTGTGCTCAGACAGAAATTTTTAGTCTCAAATTAATAAATTAGAAAGAACACCTGAAAAAGTAAATGGCAAGTTTAAACTCAAAGAAAGTAAAATTAAGAAAATAAAAAGGCAAAAGCAGAACTCTATAAGATGGAAAACAAAAATTTTATAGAGAAACTCCAAAGTCTATTATTTGAAAAGACTAATACAATTGATAATACATAGGCAAGAAAGATCAATTACAAAGAGAGAGAGGGCAGGAAGAAGAGTTCCATTTTCTCTGTATCCTCATCAACACTTGGTATTGTCAATCTTTGTCATTTAGCCATTCTAGTGGGTGTTAATTTAGCCATTCTAGTGGGTGTTAATTTCTGTTTCCCTAATGATAAATGCTATTGAGCATTTTTTCAACGTGCTTGTTTGCCATCCCTTAATGTCTTTCATGGGATTTTGGAAGGTGAATATTACTGTATTTAAGTAGGACATTCTACCCAATAAGTATCCTAACTTCTAAAACAATGCAGCGAAAAGAGACAGACTTTGGAATCAGACAAATCAGAGTCCAAATCCCATCTCTCTACGACACTGTGCAAATAACCTAGTCCTTATAAAACTTAGTTTTCCATCTCTAAAATGCTTTACACAAATGTTCTTAGAAATCTATTTTTTAAATTTCACTGGAAGGGCATTGGATATAAATGCTAATTTCCTTTGCTGTCTGTCCTTCCACACAAATGCTTCAATTCGTGGCTTAAATGATGATGCTTTATTCTTGAAGAAAGGAAAAAAACCATCACCATCACCACTAACAAAACAGTCAAACACATAAATTCATAATATCCTTGATGGCGGGGTTAGTAGGGCAGCATTTGTAATATTTGATTCTATTTTCTCAGTTTCAACAGGAGAACTTTAAATGCTGTCAGATGTTTGAACTACAAAATATCTCTTCCTTTTTCCTCCCTATTCTCTGTTCCACACCCTCTCAAACTTTTTTTTATTGTTCACAGAGAGGGGCAATACCTTGCATGCTTTTGTTCTTTCTTCTGCGAATGATACCCTTCCTTCACTTGAGTTCATTTAAAAAGACATCTCAAGTACCTTTTCTTCAATGAGAAATTCCCTGGTACACTCTCCCTGATAAACTCTCCCTGATACACTCTCCCTGGTGCACACTCCCTGGTACTCTCCATGGCACACTCTCTCTGGTACACTTTCCCTGGCACTCTCCCTGGTTCACTTTCCCTGGACCACTCTCCCTAGTACACTCTCCCTGGTACACCCCCTGGTACTCTCCTTGGTGCACTCCTCATACGCTCCCTGGTACACTCTCCCTGATACCCTCCCTGGTACACTGTCCATGGTACTCTCCCTGGTACACTCTCCATGGTACACTCCCTGGTACACTCTCCCTCGTACACTCTCTGGTACACTTTCCCTGGTGTACTCTCCCTGGTGCGCACTCCCTTGTACTCTCCCTGGTGTACTCTCCCTGGTGCGCACTCCGTTGTACACTCCCTGGTACACTCTCCCTGGTACCCTCCCTGGGACACTCTGCCTGGTGCACACTCCCTGATGCACTTTCCCTGGCCCCATGACCACACAGCACCCTTCCATGGTTCTGCTGAGACATTTTTCCCCTTCCTTCCAATAAGTATGTATTGAGTACCTTCTAGGAGACAGATAATGTTATAGACCCAGGAAATACAGAGAAACAAGGTCTCACCCCTTCCTCCTTGGAGCTAACATTCTAATGAAGAAAACAGAAAACAAACAAACCTATATACAAAGAAATAAGAACATTTCATATTAACATCTATATATAATGTTTTATTGTTTATTTTATATATATATAAAACATAGAAAATAAAACAATGAGAGTTTAGAAGAGGAGTTCAGAGAAAGCTTATCTTGGGAAGAGTTATTGGAGCTAAGACATGAACACTTAGTAGACCGTCATACATTTGAAGATGTGATAGGAAAGCCAGCATCTGAAAAAAAAAAAAAAATCTAGAGTAAAAGGACAATTAGTTGAGTCTTCCCATGCAGACTAGGAAAGGTTTGCTCTCAGATCAACCTTCCTGACACTATATAAGCATATGTCTACTCTCTAAGCACAGGCACTGCAGGAACATTGTTGGCCTCCAGGGAGCCTCCTTGGAAGATCATTGTGAAAATCTCACTCTCATACGATGCAGTCATTTCTTCTCATCACCCTGTTGGTCACCACACCATGTTAGAAAGAATCACTTCTCTTTTTGCAGAAAGAGAGGGAAAAGATTTATCATTATGTATTTCTCAAAGTTTACATGCCACTTTCTCTTGACAGTAGTTGATTTATGTGTCATGTCATTAGAGCAAACTCTCCATTTTGTAACTTTTTTTGTTACAAGCCTGTACCGTTACCCACTATTATATTAGTGAGCAATATTATGAGAAAGGAAGTAAAAATAAGAGGGTGATGTATTAGGTGAATCCACGTGCAAAAGACAGTATTTCGTGGACTGATACAATTGAGTTGCCAAATCATAAACCTTCTCAATACAAGAAAATAAAAATGCTGTGATAATGTGTGGATATCAGGGAAAATTTATATGTGTGCAAACATCCAATGAATTTGGGGGGAAAAGCATAGAATTATTGCTTTCCTACAGGTTGTTATTCCAATTAGAATTTCAAAAATGTACTCCTAGAGGAGAGAAGTTTTCAGAAAAATAAAAGTCCATAAACTTTACTACATCTGTTTTCTTGTAGTCGGATTTAATCTATCATCAGTAAGATGCGCATAATAATATTGTGTTGCTGTGGAGATGAGAAATAATACATATGAAATACCTGACATGCTTAGTACAGAGAGTAGACCTTCAGTAAACAGTTGGAATTTTTTAAATTTTTATATTTTCATTTTTATTTGCTTTTCTTTTTAGAGCATAAATGGTGATTGTGATAAAGCAGTTGTAAGCCGAGTTATAGTATTCATTTAAGTGTTAAAGTTAGACAATATATTCAAAGACAACTTTGTATCTCATCTCCAAGTGTATGCCAAAATCCTCCATGAGAGAATGGGAATTTCAAAAATTTATATGTATAGGACAATTTATCAGTTGCTTCAATTCACCCCATTTCTCAACAGCACTTAGACCTGAGAAAGGGAAATGCAGGAGAAGCAAAGACTCTCAAACAAGCCACTTTTTATTATTAGCAGCTATATGAAAAGATATGACAAATCATCATTAATGACAAAACTCATCATTAGACATCATTTGACAAAATTCATCATTAGAACACAGACAACTATGTATCCATTAGTAAATTCGTTTGAGATGACATGAGGAGCAGAAAGAAAGTTTTTTAATTTTATCCTCATTTATTTGTAAGGTTCACGGACATTTTTTTATCTCCTTGTAGATTCCTTTTGCGATAAAAATGCCACCAAGTGCCTCTCAAATCCTTGCCAAAACAATTCTACGTGCAATGGTTTTTCAAAAGACAGGAATTGCCGTTGTTCAGACACGGCCACTCATTTGGACAAAAGCTGTGACAACGTGCAAGATCCTTGCTTCTCCAGTCCTTGTCAAGGAAACGCCACTTGTGTGAACACCCCAGGAGAAAGGAGCTTTCTGTGCAAATGTCCTCCTGGGTATAATGGGACGTCCTGTGAAACTGACATTGGCTCCTGTGGCATGAACTCCTGCCAACACGGAGGTGTCTGCCGTCAGGACCCCGTTCTCCCTGTCTGCCTCTGCCCTGCTGGATATGCCGGAAGATTCTGTGAGATGGATCACGATGAGTGTGCTTCCAGCCCTTGCCACAATGGGGCTGTGTGCCAGGATGGAGTCAACAGTTACTCCTGCTTCTGTGTCCCGGGATATCAAGGCAGGCACTGCGACTTGGAAGTGGATGAATGTGTCTCAGATCCCTGCAAGAATGCAGCGACGTGCCTCAATGAGATAGGAAGATACACTTGTGTTTGTCCCCCAGGTTATTCTGGTAAGCGTGATTACACTTGAATCCCAGATGACGTAATTAGCTTTCTCTCCCCTTAATCTGACAGAAGCAGAGGTGACTTTTTATGTCCCACCCAATTGCTTACGAAAATGGTCTTTACAGGAATTAACCACCAGATGGAAAGCTTCCTAAACTACTGAAAATCCACTGAGCGTAAATGTTTGTGTCCTTGTGGTTGTTTTAAATGGAGCCCTACATTATTTCAAGCTTAGATTCAGTCTAGACTGAGTGGGCTCTACGGGACCTAGCTTTCCAGGTCAGGGCAATTCAGATTTCCTCATCACAGCAATTCCTTTCGTCCTAGCTAAAGGGTGCCCTCTAGTGCCCAAAGTCTGACTCTGCAGCCTCATGGGAAGGCAGGCCATGGGTTGGATACCTGTTGGTGGTTTCTCACGCTGAAGTGGGATCAGCAGATCCATGTTAGCAAGGCTGGTGGAGAATGCTAAATGAGATGAATCATGATTTGATTAATAAAGAAGTCACTCCTTGTTTAATCTCTTGGGTAGCAAATAATAGTCCCTCCTATCTATTCACAAAGTTTCCATTGACGTTATTTTAATAATAGAGTAACTAGTTGACAGCTCATTCATTACAAGGTTACGTACTGTTCGCTCTTCATGCTCCCTCTCTATCCTCCCCATCCTCCTGAGTCAGTTACCCGTGTAGGTCAGTTTCTGCCTGGTGACCCTCTTTCTTGTATGGCTTTACTCTTTGGATTTGCCATCTGCTGCAAGGAGGCAGCTCATGCAGGCTATGCTTTCTCACGTTCATTCATTCTAGCTTATACCCACCACTCTCCTGTGCTTCCCAACTCATACCTGGGACATCATTCACATTTTAATGCCACTTTTCCTCTTGGCTCCTGCCACTTTTGTAGGCTTCTCTGGTATTTGACTTTCGACTTGGCTTCTCTCAACACTTTCATACTTACTTCTGTGTCTTGCCATTCTTTTTGCAAGTATGTTAAACAATGTAATTATTTGGAAAATATTCCTCTTCAAAACTTGTGCCAGAACCCTCCAGAATCATTTTGCTAATATCACAGATTCTGGAAATATCTCTTTTACAAAATAGACATATCCCTAGTTGCTCTGACATGAGATTTGCTCCCTCTGCCTCGACCCTCACCTACAATCAGTCTTCAAAATCTGCTGCTTTGTATCCAAGATGTCTTCCACATTGAGCTCATGCATCCTGTTGCCATTGCCTGGGCTCGTGCCCTCATCACCTCTTGTGTGTAGTACTATCCAACCTCCAGACTCTATTTCCAGCCTCTACCTTCTCCCAGCTGTTCTGAACAATGTCTCTGAAATAATCCTTCTAAAATAGGTCTAACTGTGCCTTTCCCTTCTGAAGAGGCTTGAGAACTCCCACTACATAGAGAATAATTTTAACTTCTCATTAAAAACCCTCCACAATTTGTGCCTTACATATTAGTCATATTTCCACACGCCATTCCACCAAGGCATTCTATTTCCCTGAATCGTTTTCACTTTTTATTCCAGTGGTTTCCCTCTCTCTGGAATGTCCTTTCTCAATTCACAATGTCTAGATTCTGTGAAGTTCTCCTCTACTATCAATACTCAGTTCAAATATCACCTAACTCAAGAAACATTTCTGATTTACTATCAGCTGAATAATGCTTTTAAACTGCTGTAGTAATTATAATTATTCATTACTTCCATAGTGGTTTGCATTTCTATTAAAGAACTTCCTATATTCTGTCCTATTCTTCAATATCTGTGTTTTTGTCTCCTTCCACTCAAGTGTTAGTTTCTAAAGGAGAGGAGTCATGTCTTATATTTATTTTTTAATTCATCAGTACTTTTTGAGTGTTTATTATATGTCAGTCAGTGTATTAAGAACAGGAGATGCTGTTCCTCAAAGTGTCGAGCACAGTGACCAATGGCTGCTTAGTAAACTGTTACTGAATTTCTCTAATTTTCTAAGTTCTTACATATATTTCTGGACACCATTTCTGGTAATGAAACTGAGGTAAATAGATATTAAACTCGAGTTCACCTTCTCTATTACTTTATGCATATTTTATGATCATAGAATGCTTATATCTATTGGAAAATTATTTTATTGAGTGCCTTTTAATTACCAATTCTAACCTAAAAAATTATGGGGCACAGTAAAGGAGCTTATAAAACAGTACTTACACATGAAAAGCTCCTTGTTTTTATGCCATACTATCATGTCCATTCTTTTTAATTAGGTGGACTTATGGCAATTGAATTTCAATTTTTAAAATTTTTGAATAAAAATAAGATATACATTTTTGTGGGGCTGGTTTGGGATTGCATTTGTTTATAATGGTCACATTTAAAATCTCTATAGTTTATTAAGATAGTATCTTCTATTTCCTGCTGCTAGTACAATATTGCTAATGGCGACTAAAAGGAACGGCCGTGAGATCAAATAAATGTTTCAGCCATTTTAACTATGGTGTTCTGAAATAGTCTTATAATTGCAAAAACATAACTTGAAAAATTATGTTTTACAATGTCTTTGTTTTTGTTACATTTTAATTTAATTGGATTGTAATAAATCCTTTCAGTGGTCTAAATTTAGGCATAAAAGATGTCAAGGGTATATTCCTAATCCGAGATGTAGTAAAATTCCATCATAAGGCACTTGACTCTACAGTGAATTAATTATGCTGTAGACATATCATATCCCCGTGGGGCCCGTGAGAGCCGATGCCTTTTTCTCACTATAACGCTCAAAATCCACAGTAGGGACACTTTCTTTGCCTGAATCTAATATAATAGTGTTGTTCCCTATTTGACTCTGTTCTTCTCTTGTTTGCTAAGAAATCAGCTGTTTTATTATTTCAGTTTTCAGGTGACATATATACAACTTGCTTGCAAACAGAATTTGGATGAGTCATAAGGCAGCAAGAATCAGGTCTAGTATTAGCTGGTTAGGCTTGTTCAGATACAAAGGTGCCACGTTAGGCTTGGTCACCCACGCCCTCCTGCATTCTGGGAGCTCGTCAGCGGTTCTCAGCCCTGACCACACGTTAGCAATTACCCAGGGAGATCTGAAACATTGATGCTCAGACTCCACCTTCAGAGAGTCAAATTTAATTGATTGTAATGTATAGCTAGGGCTGGGAGCCAGAAATTAAGTTTATGTGAACTTAATTTGGAAACTTTTCTTGCACTTGCCCATCATTTAGACACACAAGGCGGCCTGTTAACTTCAGTGCTATGTCATGGTTGCCAGTGTTTGTGGCAGCTCAGGCCAATTAATGAGAAACCCAAAGAAGGTCTATAGAACCAAGGGAAAAGCCAGAGTTGAGAAGGAAGGAAAAAGACCATTAGCAATCAGCATGGATGCGCTGGTGTCTGGCTCAACCTAGACCTCCTGATGAATCCTGGAAACTGTGTTACAATAACCTGGCTGCTCTGTGCTACATCCAAATTTAGAGTGATCATAAAGAACCTGGCTTACAGGAAAAAGCCTGTGTTCCTCTGAGCAACAAAGTAAGAAAACGTAATAAATTTTAAAAGACAGAGAGGTAGGAGAGGAAAAAGAGCAGGAGCGCGCAGAGAGAGGGTTCACGCTGCAGGAATCCTTCTCCGTGCTCTCCGCAGTTCTTCCTGCGCAGTGATTCATGAACTGCGGACACAGGCTCAGAGACAGCCACTGAAGATGCCGATGCGGACCTGCCACGCGTAAGCAAAACTCCAATTGAAGCTGAAAGTAAACAGCCTCAAACTTTAAAAAAAAAAAAAAGAATGAAAAGAATATTAGCATGTGACTGCTTTTAGTTCAAGTTTATGCAATGAATCATTCCATAATTGAGGTCTTCCTTAAAATTAGCCAGATTGACTAATGAACATTTTTCACGTTAAGATGCCTGCCATATGAGAAAAATGGGGCTATGAGAGGACAGGAAAAGGCCAACTGGATCTATGATGAAGCAAAACAGTGTAGGAAAATAGCTTATTTCCTTTATTATAAAATAGATCTGTGGTATAAGAATAATCTTTGAGGAAATAAGAAAAAACACTGCGTTAAATTTACTTATCGATTGTAAGATGCATCTCTATTTCAGAGACAAAAATATATGGAAAAATTCATTTTATATTCAAGAAAATGTATTAGTATATGGAGACTAGTTAGAAGACTAGTTAGTACATGGAGACTAGTTAGAAAGCCACTGCAATACCAAGTGTGTCTTAGGACCTGGCCTGGAAGAGTGACTAACAACATGAAGGGGAGGGGTAGGTGTAAGGGTCATTAAGAAGAAGACTCACTTGCCATTTATCAAAGCCAGAATATTTCTAGACTTATTTTACCCAAAGAAAACTTGAAATGTCTAATACGAAAAATAAGAATGTATTAAAAATTCAATTGTCATTTCCAATTTAATGCACTTAAAATCTATATGGTGGTTGAGTGGTTCTCAAGTTTTAACGTGCATCAGACTCACCCGGAGAGTTTATTAAAATACTGTTTCTGATTCGGTAGATCTGAGGTGGGGTCCAAGGATGTGCATTTATAACAAGTTCCCAAGCAATGCTGATGCTGCTGGTTTGAGGACCACGCTCTGAGAAACCAGTGATGTAGACAATTATGTATATTTTTGTGTGACAACCTTGGCTCTTATTTCACAAAGTCTATGAGACAAGGAAAAAAATCAACAAAAAGTAGTTTTATATATATGATTTTATTGCTAGTAACAGTTCCAAATAAATTATATGCATAAAAATAAATATTTGTTGAATTCATTCAATTATTAATTTAGTCAACACACACACGTATGTATATTGAGTTCCTGCAATGAGTTAGGCATTGTTCTAGGCTCTGTAAAGATAAGAATAAAGAAAGTGATGAAAAAGTCCCTTACATTATGGAGGGAAGAGAGAGGTGTGTATAAAATAAATAAGCAATAGATAAAACATATAGTGGGTTAGGTGGTGATAAATGCAGTGGAGGAGAGTAAAACACAAAAAAGGGAGTTAGGA